CAAAACACTTAATGCTTTTTACCATGCGGTTGGCATTCTGGGTTATAGTAGTATGTTTTCTGTGGTTCCGCCATTGTTCTGACTTCCACTCCGCATTTAGTCGTTTTCAGCGCGTTATCTCGAATTTCTTGTGCCAGAACGCGATCCAGTTAGACTATATACATCAATGCCGTGTTTATACGCACTGAGGAGGGGGGAGGTAGCTTCGTCGTCAGCTCGTCGTCAGCATAGCATTGTTGTAGTCTGTTGCGTTTTCCAGCTGTGTTTACCGCTGGAAATAAAATAGTCTGTAAATTAAGATAAGTATAAATTACATAAACCAAAGCCTTCTCTGAGGATATAGTAATGATTTCCCCGAGCAAAGCTCAGTACCCTGGTACTTATTTATTATTCTAGTTGCTCTACCAATTCTCCAAATCAGTAATCAATAGTCAGCCATCTTGAAACAGCTGTTCAGTCGTCTGTTCTTTAAAATGCTAAATTGTATTCACAACTAACTGTTTACATTTTATTTCAGTATTGAGTTTTTTTTTATTTTTACTTCGGGACGTGGTTTTTATTTCCTTCCCGATTTTTGGGGTAAAACAACTTGGTTAAATATTATTGCAGATAGCAATAATATTGAAAACAAGCATCGTACTAAAAAACAATTCTGTGTAAAAATTAAACAAGTAACAAAATCTGTTGTTGACTAAACAAATTTAATTTTTGGTTCAATTAACTATGAAACATCAATCTAATTATAAAACAACACATGCTAACCTTATACAGACATTTAACGTGAATACGACACGAATACTACTACATAAAAAAACTTGAGTAAAGTCTTAAGGCCTGATATATGGTTACTTGTAAAAAAGCAGAAGAGTTTTTGCAGGCCCAATCCTAAATATTTTAACATCTGCCTATCACAATGTCATTATTTTTGCATGACTTTAATCCTCAATTGTGACATCATTGTGAAGATCTCCCGTGATGACGGAGCCACCGTGACCATGTTCGCGGCGCTATATTCAGTTGTCCAGGTGTCTCAGCAGTCAACAACACATCTCGCAATCTTGGCGCCTGATCTACAACCATAGATCTCTATATAATACAACAACTCTGTATTATATAGAGATCTATGCCCACAACACACCCCACGCTCGCAACCGGATCGTCAACATGTCCCCAAAGCACCATCGCTTGTGAGCTTGGTGCCATCATCATTTCCCGCGTTCACGGCACCATCGCAAACATATCTCCCGCTGCCCACGCTCATGGTGCGATCGTCAACATGTCTCATGGTTGTGGTACCATCGTCAACATGTCTCACGGGCGTGGCACCATCGTCAACATGTCCCTCACTGCCTACGCTCATGGCGCGATCGTCATCATGTCTCACGGTTGTGGCACCATCGTCAACATTTCTCACGGTCGTGGCGTGATCATTGACATGTTTTGCGGTTACGATGCCATTGTCAACACGTCTCGGTTATGTCGCCGGTCATGGCATTATCGTCAACATGTTTTGCGGTCATGGTACCAACGTCAACATGTCTCATGGTTACAGTGTTATCGTCGACGTTTTTGCGGTCAGTTACTACAGTAGAAGAAAATATATTGCCATTAGGCAGACAACAGCTCCAACTACAACGCTGTATAAGTCAGAGGAGCAACCGCAACATGCAAGGTCAAGTCCACTCCACTCCACGACACGACCACCAGCAGTCAGCACTAGATGATGCAAAAAACGGTTGGAACTTCGAACTGGCAACATTGCATCTCTTCAACATGAAACCTGCATTTGAAGTGAATGTCGGGACAACCACACACTTCATTAGTTCCGCAAATCACCACTGCCGCGCCACCGTATGTGTGGGATATGGGACCCGACTAAGATAGACATCACTGTACATTGACTGTCGGGACATTTAAAACAAAATTTTCTAAGTGTTTCTGGGACCCGATTACAACGTTTCAGGCATTCTTTGCTTGTCGGGACGTGTGTGAGTCCCGACAACCGTGTGTTAGCCCGACTGTCTGGCCGTATGCAGGCGTGTGTCCCGACAATTATATGCAAACGTACGCACACTCACACACACACACATACACACAGACATCACTTCGAAAACCACTTTTTTGGGTCCAGGGGGACCCAAAACGAATATATCCACTCAAAACTCAAACTCGAAAATTTTGACGAAAACAATACTTTCTCCATATACTATGGTATAGGGGGAGAAAGTAAAAACCGGAATAATTGGATTTTCTAAAAAATGGCCTGTACGATTTTGATAAAAATTTAGTATGTTGTAGCCCTTTAAATTGTGAACAAAATGGTACAAATCCCATTTCTGTAAAAATTACGGTTAAAAAGTTATTGTAAATTATGTTACTTTCCCATAAAACACCATAAAATAATGGAAAATAGGATTTTCCCAAAAATGGCCCGATTTTGATAAAAAATTAGTATGTTATAGCCCTTTATATTCTGAAGAAAATGGTACAAATCCCATTTCTGAAAAAAAATACGGTTCAAAAGTTATTGTAAATCATGTTATTAATTTAGTATGTTATAGTCCTTTAAATTCTGAACAAAATTGTACAAATCCCATTTCCGTATATTTACACTCACCGCTTATACATGATAAAGGTTGTTGACAAACTTATGGGAGAAAGTATGTGTCAGAATGCTGATACCGTTTATTTTTACTTTTTTACCACAAATCTATATATTAATAGGCAAGCATGTTTCTTTAAAACCTTTTTCCTCAGCTCGTGTGCATCGCAGGGAAAATCTACGTATACCGTTGGAAAGATATTTTCCTGTAGAAGTGCAGAATCCCTTTCAAAATTAAAATAGGCTCAAATATAGGCATAAAAAATGGATTTGAAATTTTAAGAAAATAACATGGGCTTTATGGGTTGCCATGCTGGTGACGAAATAACAACGAAATATAAACAGAAAATCAAAACAAATGGAAGAAATTACAATTACATGTTTTATTTACAGCGTGGGGTGAAAATAGAGGAGCCTGTACCTTTACATTCCATTCCCATGTTAAAGTTGTCACCAGTTTGTTTTCTTTAAATTCTTCGTAGTTGATGTGAGCCACCAACTGATTGCGCTGATCTAAATGACTAATTTCTGCCGAATACACAATGTTTTTCACCAAGTTAAACTCATCGAATGACTTATTATGAGCTATAGCATCTGGTATGACCCATCAACTTTGTCAGCAACAAAAAATAAGATGGGAAATAGAATTTAAGACACGCATTCGGTAACTGGCTCACACAAGTACATGTTAAAAAAAAAAAATTGCGACGGCTAGTCCATATAGATGGGAAGTCTATTTCAGTATCCAATAGTCAATACGTGTATATTACATGTTTCTGGTCGATTTTTCAACCACTGGACGACCACTAGTATTTAATAAAATCACACTTTCATAATTATTTGCAAATCTACATAAATTAGGCTTGCCAATGACTCATTAATTAACAAAATCGATCTAGTAGAAGTCTAGATTTAGTTGTACAAAGTTAAAAAAAATATCCCTAACTCAGTATTTTCTCATTACTATAATTTTGGAGGTTGCTTAGCTTTTCGCAAATAACTTTTAAACGGTGAGTGAAATCGGCCAAAGAGGAAGGTTATATTTTGAAAGAGAATACAATTTCCTACAAATTGATACCATGCACTTCTTCGAAATACTCAAAAAAGGCAGCCAAAAGTCACACACAAATAAAAAGTGTGAAAAACATAGTTTTCAATGTATTTCTTATGGAAAAATGTTTTTTTTAATTTTTCACCATAAATCATGACAAAAACAAACTTTCATAATCATTTGCAAATCTACACGAATTAAGCTTTTCAACGACCCATTAATTGAAAAAATCGGTTCAGTAGAACTCTAGATTAAGTTGTACGAAGATTTTTAAAACTGAATTATATATAGAATAGATTAGTTTTAAAATAACTGCTGTAATACCGGTACTTGATAATTGCTCAATTTCGGTTTTCTATAGTTCAGGTGGACTAGTTTGGTTTTAACTTCTCTATCTTTTTGATTTCAACAGCATCTCATCCCCACCACCAGTAATGTGATTCAGGCAGCATCTCATCCCCACCACCAGTAATATGATTCAGGCAGCATCTCATCCCCAACCACCAGTAATATGATTCAGGCAGAATCTCATCCTCAACCACCGGTAATGTGATTCAGGCAGCATCTCATCCCCAACCACCAGTAATGTGATTCAGGCAGCATCTCATCCCCAACCACCAGTAATATGATTCAGGCAGAATCTCATCCCCAACCACCAGTAATGTGATTCAGGCAGCATCTCATCCCCAACCACCAGTAATGTGATTCAGGCAGAATCTCATCCCCAACCACCAGTAATGTGATTCAGGCAGCATCTCATCCCCAACCACCAGTAATGTGATTCAGGCAGCATCTCATCCCCAACCACCAGTAATATGATTCAGGCAGAATCTCATCCCCAACCACCAGTAATATGATTCAGGCAGCATCTCATCCCCAACCACCAGTAATATGATTCAGGCAGCATCTCATCCCCAACCACCAGTAATATGATTCAGGCAGAATCTAATCCCCAACCACCAGTAATGTGATTCAGGCAGCATCTCATCCCCAACCACCAGTAATGTGATTCAGGCAGCATCTCATCCCCAACCACCAGTAATATGATTCAGGCAGCATCTCATCCCCAACCACCAGTAATATGATTCAGGCAGCATCTCATCCCCAACCACCAGTAATATGATTCAGGCAGCATCTCATCCCCAACCACCAGTAATATGATTCAGGCAGAATCTCATCCCCACCACCAGTAATATGTACCACTTAAGAATGTGTTGCGGTAAAGGCAACATCTCAGTTAAGGGGAAACGTATAATTAATATAGCATGCTGATGGTTTTATTTTTCAGAATAAAAAGTATAAGTATGCTAAACTGCTGGTAGGTCCATTTTTTTTTTAACCACTTACAGCTTTCCCAGTTGCTTCCCTCTGTATTGGTCACTTACAACAACATCTTCCACTCTTCCTCTCTGAAACACCAATAATACCAATTCATTTACACATTACTGGGTAAACTAAATTCAAAATAACTTGAACTTTGAGAATGTCGGACCACACCTTTTAATTGACACAGGTGATTTCATTTATACATCAGTAGCAATGGAGCAGGTAATAGCTTAAGATGTATTGTACCAAGTATAATTAACTTCTTTGATTTTTGTAAAAATAAGCTTGTATAAAATTTCTTACTGGGATTTATTTCCCATGAATTAATATTTTAATTACCATTTGTATGTGTGTAGATTGTATAAGATAAAATGTTATTCATTACTGGTGAGTGGCATGGTTGATAAATACAGTAGTCTCGATAATCCAATCTTTAGCTCTCGACCCTTCATGTGGACGATCGGTTACCAGGATATTGAATGCTATTTCAATGTGGCATGATTGCACACAATGGCAGGTACGTCCTGATAATTAGACCAATTCGTAAATTACAAGGAAAAAATGTGGTTCGGATTCCACTATAAACTGTAGGTCCCTTAGTTGCCATTAGCTGTATGCCGTATGGGCTATTAATTAACAGCTGTGTCTAAGGAACATGTCGGCCTTAGTCACTAATAAGACTACAAGATTGCGCCACTCATCCTACACTCATCCTTCACTCATATTTGAGTAAAATACGCACATAGTGGCGTCCCCATCTTAAATAATTGATAATTGATAATCCAACAACCCCTAAACTGCCCTCCTCATACTCGTAAAACTCTCTGCCACCCCTAACATATTAGTAAACGGAAAAGGCTAGTGGGTTTGACACTAAATAAACTTAAAGTGTAAAAACGGAGGAACTTAACAATGATTTTGAAAATTTTTCGTCTGTTATCTAACAACCCTTTCCCTTATCCAGCTGATTTTGATAATGTAAATGAGACTCAGTTGAACAGTTAATAAATTGTAAATTATATTAAAAACAAATACTTTTCTATATTTTTGTGACCACTAATAAAAAGGTAGGGTTACGACGTTACCAAAATTTACCGCCGTAATAATAATATAATAGGCCTACTCAATTAACCAAATTTAGATTACTATCAAGCTTTCTAATAGGCTCAAACAATAACCAATGAAAGACGTTATTCCAAATAGCCTAGGTTGTTGCACAGTTGCAATAAACACCGATCCTCTTGATGCTTTGTAATTTCAAGGTAATAATAAATAAAATTCTAATAAATACCTCTCTAATTAATAGCAGATTTAAGTCAAATTTCATTATTGACTAAGTTGAGATAACCTACAATACGAACACTTACCGTTTCGATATCATAACGTCTGCCGATACAACTTTTACTTTCATCAAAGGCCATAATTAAATTAGACTCCGACTAATCATTCTTTTATTTAAATTATCCTATAACTGTGATTTGTTTTAATTACTGTAAGATTGTTTAAATTCATATTAAGAATAACTTTATACGGATGCCTATTTACAATCATCACTAACATAACCTCCAGGACATGACATTTGACAGACATCGGCACCCGGCCCGGTTTGAGAATTGAGTGAGAGGAAGTAAAACAATCACATTACGTCATATAGTTTTTTCTGCGCGGTACGTACTCCGGTATCATGGCAGGGCGGGATTTTTGAAAGAGAGAAGACTTCTCTCTTATTAACTCGGCTTTTTAGCTGGAAGAGTAGAGTCCTCAAAGCTACATTCGGCAAACACTACACTCGGCTTTGTGCTGGAGTTGGTAAGAGCTGAAAGTTGGCAACTTAAACTACAGATTAGGTTTTCTTTATTAACAAAATTAAATTTCTTTCTCAGGGGTTACATTATTGCGAGTTAGGGAATTCTTGAGTCATTAATATTTTGTGATATAATTTAAAGTAGATTTTTTTTTCAATTTCAAGTTAAATATTTATGAATTGTTAAATATTTGCGAATTGTTAAGTGAGAAAGATCACTGTGATAATTATTTAATAAGACTGAATGTTAGATTTAATAGATTTGTTGAATAAATATTTAATTGTTACAGCATAAACTCTTGACTTATTATTGTAGGGACACGCTCTCATCTCTCTAGATAAAAATAAAGAGAATACAATATAAGCTTTGATTAGAAACAACCCCACTCATTAAATCGGCTGGCAAAGAACCTCTCCCTGAAGGTAGCTCATTGCTCTACAAAAAATAGCTAGGGTAACCAAAATAACCAATATTTTGAGTTGGAGTGTTGTAAAATGGCGCCCAACGTAGCAGCTGATTAACCAACGTAGTACCTTGATTAAACTAACTAAAATACATACTTTGAATGTCTAGAATCTGATAAATAGGTTTATATATAATAATGGAAGACAACACCAGTCAGTATAACTTGCGTTCGAGTATCAAACCGAGTAATAAATTATTAGAAAGTAATGAAGCTTTTGAATTTTTAACAAGACGAAATCCAGAGGAAAATCAAACCATCACACAAAAACCTAGCGAAATTATAGGTCAGGAAACACACCCAAACTATGAAAATTCAATCCACGATAGTGACAGCACTAGCAGTGAGATCTTACAAATAGAGGGGACAGATGGGACGATAAATAAAACACAAAGAATAACAGAAAAAACACCATCAAACAGAGAAAACGACAGTAAACCATCCCAATCTCAAACTATAACTATGGACAAGATCTTGTTAATACTAAATGAAATGAGAGGCGAAATGAGGGAAACTAGAGATGAGATTAAAAAACTAAATGCAAAAGTAGATGAGACTAAATATGAACTTAGCTTTACCATAGATAGAACAATTGAACTATTAAAGAGACAGGTAGAAAACCAATTGGAAAAGGTAACTTACACAATTGATCAAAAAATAAATTATATTGATGATGATTTAAGGAGGGTAAAATCAGAAGGTGAACTAAGGGAGATAAAAATTATGCGCCGGGTGGAAGAACTTGTCGAATCCCAGAATGCTAACGTAGCACAAATGATAGAGACAATAAAAAGTGACTTAATAGGAATCACTAATGACACCATTAGGGAACAAAAATCAAAAGAAAGGTATATTGAGGCTACAAACAGTAAGGAAATAATTATCACATACCAAGGGTCCCCAGAACAGTCGTTAAAACACTTGCAATTTGACGGACGACAAACAAACCCAATGATATTTCTAAACAAACTAAAAGCATACCTTAGTCGTGAAGAGAAAAAACGAACTAACATGATAGGAGTCGAGGATTCTGATCTAAAGGAAGTACTTGAAGGAATTTTTATTGGTACCGCAGCTTCTTGGTGGCAAATCATAAAGGATAGTATAGGGAACATTGACGACTTTGAAAAAGCGTTCATAAATAAATACTGGAGTAAGGAGACTCAACGTGGATTAAAACAGAGAATAGAGATGGAAGAGTATAGGCCAGGAGGTAGATTAAGTCGTACCGAATACTTTATGGAAAAGGCGGTTCTCTTACGTTCGATGTCAGCCAATACTTTGGACGAGGAGGAAATAATAAGCTTGTTGTCAGGTCATTTTGGACGAAAGATTCAGGATGCTTGTAGTGTCCAGGGCATAACCACTATCAGTGCTATGGAAAAATTGTTAGACCGTGAGGACAACGAAGAGAAAAATAAAAGCTTAAAATTTCAAAATAACAGCTCTAAGTCAAACCAAAACTACAATCAACAACGCAGTAAAACACACCTCGTAGGAAATGAAGACTACAGACAAGAGATAGAACGTCGAGACAGATACAACAACAGAAACCGAACAGAACAAAACTATCACCATAGATATGATAGGCCACAAGCACACAAAGATAACATCAATGGCGAAAGACCAAACTACAGACCGAGAAATAAGGAAACAAGACCTAACTATCCACAAAAGGAGCCATATAGATATCCTAGTGAGGAGCAAAGAAGAGTATGCTCTATGGTGTACCAGGGAAATTCTCAACCAGTGCCTTTAAACGAGAAAGCACCGAGACTTTCAGAGAATCGGGCCCCAACACAAAACTGTTAGGAAATCTAAGAGAATGTGTAGAAGCCTCGGTGCACAACATAACCACACCGCCCGAAATTCAAATAAAAACTGAAAAAGAACCAGACATAAAGAATACTAACTTTGAAAAAATATTAATAGGAAATGTATATTGTGATAGAGAATTTCTATTAACAGAAGATTTAGAAGTCCCTGAAAATCTAAATAGTAAAATTGTAAGATGTCCTGAAATAAAATTGAAATTACAGAACATAGAAATTAATGCACTGATTGACTCTGGTAGTAACGTAACTTGTGTACAAACTGAATGGTTGGAAGCAAACCAAGATAAGATTAGTATAATAGGTCAATTACCTCTAACAAACGTAAATATTACTACTGCTACAGGTCAGAAAAGTAAACGTATAAATAAAATAGTTTTACTTGAAGCCACAATTTTAAATACAACTGTTATGCTCCAATGCTTAGTAATACCAAGACTAATAAGAGAAATTATACTTGGAATGGATACAATCAAAGAGTTGAATATGAACCTTGACTTTGGAAGAAATAAGATATCAATTTACCATGGGAATCAAAGCATATCTGTAAATTTAGAGGAGGTCAGTAGTAAAGTTATCGAGTGCAAATTAATACATAACAATGACAAGCTTTACAAAGATTGGGATGAAATAGAAACTAAGAAAAACACAGCTAAAAATAACGAAATCATGATGACAAGTATAAATACTCAGGAAAACTTAACTAGTGAACAGAAAGACAAGTTAACCGAACTGTTTTCAAGGTACAATGAAGTATTTTCCGACCAACCTGGCCGTTGCACAAAATATAAACATGAGATTAAGGTGAAACACGACAAAGCATTTAAGCAACAAACTTACCCAATCCCATACAAATATCTAGATTCTGTAAAAAAGGAAATAGCTAGAATGGAAGAAGATGGAATCATAGAAAGATGTGATAGTCCATATATAAATCCCATTGTACCAGTTATGAAAAAATCTGGAGAAGTGAGAGTATGTTTAGATGCTAGGAGAATAAATGAAATTATTACCCCAGACTATGAATGTAATAGAGGCATAAACGAACTGTTATTCAAAGGAAGAAAAACAAAATGGTTAACCACTTTAGATCTGTCTAGTGCATTTTGGCAAATTGAGCTAGCACTAGAATCAAGAAAGTATACAGCATTTCAATTTATGGGTAAAACTTACCAGTACTGTGTTACTCCATTCGGTTTGAATACTTCTTCTGCGGCTTTGGTCCGTGCTCTAAGTTTTGTATTAGACGATGAGGTAGATGATTTTACCATGGTTTACGCAGATGACATTCTTTGCTACTCACCTGATTTTGAAACTCATTTAAAGCACTTAGAAACTATTTTCCTTAAGCTGAAGAGAGCTAACATGACAATAAAATTTGAAAAATCATTGTTCTGTAGAGATAAAGTCCCATTTCTAGGATATATAGTAACAGGTGAAGGATTGGAGGCAGACCCAAGAAAAACTGAAGCAATTTTGAATTTAAGAACACCAAGAAATCAGAAAGAACTTAGAGGATTCTTAGGCACAATAAATTATTATAACAGATTTGTCGAGAAGTACTCAGAAACATTACAACCACTTCTGGCCTTAACTTCAAAGAAAAATAAATTTATTTGGACAAGTAAAGAACAGGAAGCTTTTGAAAACACTAAGGAACTATTCTTAAAAACAAATACCTTAATTCACCCAGATTTGAATAAAGAATTTATATTACAATGTGATGCATCAGATAAAGCTATTGGTGGACACCTATACCAGATAAAGGACGATGGAACAAAAGGGGCTATCGCTTTCTTGAGTCGAGTTCTGAGGGGACATGAGCTAAATTTATTTACTACTGAAAAGGATTTTCTGTCCATACTTTTCTGTCTTCAGAAGACCAGACAGATTGTGATGGGAGCTAAGGTGCGCATAATAACCGACCATAAGGCATTAACTTTCATAAAAACTTGCAAATTGCTCAATTCACGATTAACTAGATGGGTCCTTGCTTTACAAGAATACCAATACACAATAGAGGGATGTCCGGGTAAAGATAATATAGTGGCAGATTCTTTAAGCCGCTACTGTAAAAGTGATATGTCACAGGAAAGAAATGGTGATGATGAACCAAAAATAGTGGTTGCAACTGTGAAAAGACAAGCAAATACTCAAACCATGTTAGACTTAGAAAATTTAAAAGAACATCAACATTTGGACCCACAATATAACAACATAATACAACAAAAGTTAAGAGAGAAGGATGGTGAAGTTTTACCAAAACCTTTGTTAAATTATGAAATAGAAGATGGACTTTTACTAAAGAAAAACAACAATGATGTATGGAAGGTTGTAATACCAGAAGTGTTAGTAGAAAGTTTGATATGGAGTTGTCACTTTTATTATTTACATTGTGGTCCTCAGAAGTGTTACCAAATCTTAAATGAGAGCTTTATATTCAAGAATATGACCAGGAAAATCAGAGTTATATTAAAGCGATGTGAAACATGCCAAAAATGCAAGTCAAATAATAAAACTAACTTTGGAGAAACAAGTGGTGTCAGTGTGACTGAAAAGAACGAACTTTTGGCCGTAGACTTTCTAGGACCTTTACCAATGGGAAGATCTGGCTTACAATATGTGTTTGTTGTAGTTGATGTGTTTACAAAATTTACTAAACTATTTCCTACTAAAAGAGCAACTAGTCAGATTGCACTAAACAAAATATTTTTAGAATACGTCCCTAATTATGGAAAACCAAAGAAAATACAAAGTGACAATGCTACACAGTTTCATAGCAAGCTCTGGCTAAACAAATTAAAGGTAGAAGGCATTACTCCAGTGTTTTCCCCAATTAGACATCCACAACCCAACTTAGCAGAGCGTATAATAAAAGAGACAAAGCGATGCTTAAGAAGTTATTGCCACAATAATCAGAAAACTTGGCCTGAGTACATCAGCATAATTAATGAGTTTCTAAATGAAGTACGAAACGAAACTACAGGTTTCACCCCAAACGAACTGCATCTAAATAAAAGGAATGTTAGATTTTGGAGCAATGTCTTAGGGTTACATAGAGAAGATGACCAGAATTGGGTAGTTAAGCTAGAGTTAGCAAAAACTAGAGCCGAAAGGAAGAAAGAAAACAGAGCTAGAAAATTGAATACGCAACACAAGATAACAGAATTTGAGTTGGAGTGTTGTAGGGTTAAGTTAAAAATGCAGTTAATAGTTTGTATTATAAAGCCCAATGGTAGAGCAATCCAACTGAAAAGAGGAACAATTTATATAAACATACTATTCAGTGTGCTCAAACGAAAGTTAGGATAGGATGCGGGGATTGCTCTTAATTTGGAGAGTAGATAGAACAACAAGGGTGTGTATGTATGTATAAAAAACCAAATTCATTCAGTACCTATCAATATTAGAAATAATAAAACAGTTTTAAAAGCAACAGAATCTAACAGCATTTTATTTTTTTATTACCAAAAAAATTACAACAAATGTACTGATAAGTCAAATAGTGTTTTGTCTAACAACTGCAGTTTTAGAATCTATGTTTGAGATGTATCAACCTATATATAATGTATCACTTACCAAAGCACATTTGTGAATAAACTTCTGCTCTAAAACCAGGCTAGCAGAACCAACTATTTGGCAAGTGGTGACGTCTTCTACCACAGTGATGTAGTAAGTATTTGGACATCTTACCATGGATTGAAATCTATCTTGAAAGTAGAAGGGATACATTTTAGTTTGGAACACCAGTAAATTAATAAGAGTAATGTATTGTACAAATTATCGTATTTGGACAAGTTCATACTACAGGTATACTAGAGTAAATCTCATTACCTATTGGCACCGACTTACGAGTGTTACTCATCTGACCGCCGCAGGCCCAAAATACAACTTACGAGCCCATCTCTTTTTTTTGCTAATTTTTATAAATATCTTGCTTCTTGTTTTGCGTATTTTTAATCATTTATTTTTGGGAATAACAGAGGTAACCCAGTAAACTTGTTATAAAAATCAGGGTCTACCTTGCATGAAATGGGGTAGTAGGTTTCTTTTTTTTTATGTTGTTTGTAATAGTACCGAGATGCTAAATCCAGATTTTCGACCTCGACGACCTTCCGGATCACCTCCAAAAAGCTGAAAAATCGGTGGAATTTCGCACTATTTTTACATTTTTCTGATTTTGACCCTGAAGCATCACTTTTTCATAAAGAACAACCATAACCATTTTTAAAGTACATTAAATTACCTATCATTTAAGACCAAAATTGGTATTACAGGCCTAATAGTTTTCAAGATATGACTCCGCGAACAACGGCTAAAATTACCAAATTTTGAATTTTTTTAAAGTTTGGCTAACGTTAACCCTAAAGCATAACTTTATCATTATTTTTCATTAAAACAACCATAATTACTTTAAAACTACATTAAATTACTCACAATTTAGGACCAAAATGGTGATTATAGGCCTAACACATTTAGAGATATGCCTCTTCAAGGTTCATAAAATATTCCCTAAATGCTTGTATTTTAAGTTTCAAGCTATTAAATTTGGTAAAATTTTATAAAAGAAACATAATAAGAATGTAAAAAGAATTATTTCATTTCAACAACATATTATAAGTTTTCTTTTCCATTTTTTATGGAAGAAATCTATTATAATTAAAATGTTAATACTATCAAGAGGGATTTATATAAAGAATGAAGAGGCAACAGTAAAAACAGGTCGTAACTTTGCTATCGTTCTACCATGCTACATATTACTTCTTTTATGCCAAGTTTTCGAATCTGTACCTGCAGGATATGTAGAAATTAGGAAACAAGATGGATTTCAATAAACACAAGTTATTTACCACCAACGGGTTCTTCACCATTCATTGAGCGTTCGGAAAAGTTCTAGACAGGTGTTTGGACGGACATGACTATAGAGCAGGTGCTCATTTTCCTAATTAAAAGCTATCTATGTAGGTTTGACTCGGGACCGTGGTATAGCTGATACCGTGCTCACCCGATGGACAGTAGGAATGATATAATTTATCTGTAGAATTTAAGTGCTGAGGTTGAGGAGTAGGCCTACTGCAATGTTAAGGCACATACAACTGAGTAGTATGTAGAAATGAGACCCTCACGAGTCACTTGAGTTGAAGCGAATACAGAGAAGCTGTGTGACTGGTTACTTAGTCGCCTTCCCTAATACTGATGTTATAATAATCTTAAGCAGTGGAATTGTTGGAAGGAAACTGTCGACTGTCATATGGCTAGAGATATTGGCAATGAAGCGATGTTGAGAGTTTTATGAGAAAAATATGAATAAGTGAGATACAAAAGGAAGAATAAAGTAGTATCTCTTTCTTCCGATGTCAATACCCAATGCGTTCCTCATAGATTCACAATATTGTTTTGTTGTTCTAGTCCGTGTTATGCTCTATTGTTAAATTTTATATTTATATTGTTATTTATTATATTTTGTTATATTACTTCCTATTTATACTGTTGTTGCTTGTTATATCTTATATCTTGTTATATTTTATATCTTATATCTTGTTGTGTCTATATCTTGTTAATCTTATATCTTGTTATGTCTTATATCTTGTTATGTCTATATCTTTTAGCGAATTTCCCTATAGGGAAGCAGCTATTACCGTAGGTGGCACGGTAAGACCTAGACCCGGGACCGATTTACTTTTTCATTTTAAAGTCCCAAAAGGCCAAAAACACCATTCGTTAAAATTTTTATATATGTAAATATATAGGTATATATAATTCTGTAAGACCAAATTTTTATCAGAAAATTGTGGACGTCTGGTAAGTCGCAGAAAAGTGGGAGAGGTCTTAAATTAAAGGTCTTGACCCCAGGGACTCGGGAAAAATAGCAGAATTCCCATAAAGTTATCAGAAAACGAGATATAACGTAAAATATCCACCATAAGAAATGCATGGGGACTGAAAAACGTCTACATTCTATCAGCTGTTACTTATTTATTTGCAATGTTTACATTTATTCCGAAAGTCAATGTTGGTAAATAATGTTTCAAAATGAATTGTGTTTAATTTTTTTTGTTTTCCGTTTTTATAATAAGTGACGTAACAAGACAGGGTAGGGGAAGACCTGCAAGACGTGGAAGAGTGTCCAGGAATTCAACAGACTTAAGAAATGCAAAAGAGAATGTTGTGTAGGGCCTAAATGTGAAAGAAATCCAGAAGCTGTTTTACAACCTGTCTTTGGAAGAACACTGGAAAATGAATTGAGTTGTTTCTCACAATCTAGGTCATCTTAAAGAGCTTGCATGCATTGTGGTGCATTTCACTTCGCAGAGGAGGCCACAAATGGACATTTCAACGCATGTTGCCACAATGGACATGCCACAACCACAAGTAAATGACGAACTAACTGTTTTTACATGATTCGAACTTCATAAAAAACATAAGGCAATACAACAGTGCAATGGGTATTGCGTCGCTTTCCGCTACACAAAAAGAGATTCCGGGAAATGGGCCTTAGTGTCTTAAAATTCAGGGACAAATTCATAGATACCTATACAGGGTGTTTTTAAAAGAATGCCGGGATTTTAAAAGGTAATTGCTTGGATACTATTCAAAGTAACTAAACGTTATATACGTCAAATCGAAGCTACTATAACTAAGTTTTGTTTCCCGTGTAGCAAGGGAGGGAACTTTGACCTTGGCATGCGTAAAAAAGGAGCGGGGTGATAGGCTGCTATTGTGACTCATACGCCTGATGCCAGTCACCAGTACGACGTTTACGGCGCAACAGAAGGCCCACATTGTAATCTGTAGTTCGCAGAGTTTACATCCATTGCTAAATTAAACTAAATTTAAATCTACTTGATGATAACGAAACTGTAAGCTGGTTTAATGGGTTTCGTGGCACCGAAGTGTTTTGAAGAGACATTAACCTGGCCGGCTAAAAACAATCGATGACATAGACAAAGAAATCCGACAATTCTGCATCAGAGGCCCGAAAAAATCGGTTGCCCGACGAAGTCTTCAGTTCAACACACCTAAATTTGTCACTTTATGATATTATCTATAAAATATAGAGTCTTTGTGTCGAAAAATATTCAGTCAAGACATCAGATAAACCCACTGATCGCCCTAAGCGTCAGACTTTGCCAGTTTTACGCTCATATAAGATTGATGAAAATCTGAATGTTATTAAATCATTCCGAATTGTATGAAAGAATTAGAAAAAAACTTTATTCTTTTCCCTTCAATTTGACGTTTAAATCGTCTAATTATATTGAATAGTCCCCGAGCAACAACCGTTTGAAATCCCGGCATTCTTTTAAGAACACCACGTATTTCTGACTTACCACCGCCAAATGGGAGTTGCCTTCATAATAATTAATAATAATTTTAATCTTTACATTTGGTTCTCAAAATGGAAACTATAACAGAATTCGTAAGATTACAAAACAAATCTTCAATTTTAAACTAAAAAAGATGTGCAATGTTTGGCTGTACGATTTCAGCTCTGATTCGTCGCTCTCCGGGCTCAGGCCAACCGTGTGCACGTTTCCGTTTGTAATATGTTGTGTTATTGATTTAATCATTATTTTACAATTGTAGGCTATTTCACTGACACATTAGAAGCAACTAACATATGACTCCAACGGAAGGAACACCAAGATATAAAACAAGAAACACTGTTAATTTTAAGTAACATAAAATTGATAATTTAGAAACATATTTAGAATATTTGTCTTTTTATATATGGGTTTTTTATTGTAGTCTAAATTAGGGGCTATGGCCCCTACAGGCCACTAGTATATACAGGGTGAGTTTCTACTGACCGTGTTAACTTCACCAGTGGGTTCTACTCACTAAAAGGAACAAAAAAGTTAATGGGAAGGTATGTCCGAAAATTCATATTTACCCAGATATCCACCATTTTGTTTTTTATACAAACATATTTTTATCTGTGAAATTTCTTATTCGATGATTATGAAACTTGGTAAACATGTTACCATACACAAGACCTATAATAGAAAAAATAATAAAGTTGTTCCGATTGTAAATTTCAAAATGGCGGCCGTTTGAATTTTTCTAACTTAAATAACTCGAAAACGGCTAATTCTATGAAAAAATGTCAAGAATACTTTTTTTAGCATTTTTAATTTCCTATCAAACGATACCAAGATCAAAAAGATCGGACAAAAGATAACTGAAATAAACAGGTTTGTGTGTAAAAATAAGGCAAAAATTAAGGGTTCCCCGACTAACTTTGCCTTATTTTTACACAAAACCCGTTATATTTCAGTTATCTTTTGTCCGATCTTTTTGATCTTGGTATCGTTTGATAGGAAATTAAAAATGCTAAAAAAAAGTATTCTTGACATTTTTTCATAGAATTAGCCGTTTTCGAGTTATTTAAGTTAGAAAAATTCAAACGGCCGCCATTTTGAAATTTACCATCGGAACAACTTTATTATTTTTTCTATTATAGGTCTTGTGTATGGTAACATGTTTATCAAGTTTCATAATCATCGAATAAAAAACTTCACAGATAAAAATATTTTTGTATAAAAAACAAAATGGCGGATATCTGGGTAAATATGGATTTTCGGACATACCTTCCCATAAACTTTTTTGTTCCTTTTAGTGAGTAGAACCCACTGGCGAAGTTAACACGGTCAGTAGAAACTCACCCTGTATATATACAGGGTGAGTTTCTACTGACCGTGTTAACTTC